TAATAATAAAATTACTAACAAATTATACCCTATCAATTCCCCCCACACCTGAATCATGCTTGCCCTCAAGCATGGAGACAACTCAACTCAACAATGGCTAGCTTTCACATTAACATTACCAGCTGTGCTTATACCAAAATCAAGATTTAGTGGCTAAGTGTCGAGTCATATTTCTCCCGGTTAGCTCCTAAGTTCATAAACCCGTCCAATTCATGGCTAACTCGCCTAGGAAATCCAAATATTAACTAGCATAGTTAGCAATTAAGTCAACTGGCAACCAAAGTCCCAATATTGCGAACCAAGGATCAGCGGGCCAACATGATCATAATGATTCCAATCACGCAATGAAGTGCAAGAATCTAAATGCTGTGCGGGACTAAGTGTCACGTCAGATGGAGGTCAACTCTAGTGCAAAGATTTAAGTGTTGTGTGGGGATTAAGTGTCACGTTTAATGAGAATCACCTCTAGAATTCATACGAGCCAATTTTAGAATCCGAATACGGCCAAATGAACAGTTTAATAGTGGGGAGAATGTAGCATCCCACATTAGAAGAAGAGGAAATGATTTAAAAGCTTGAACCCCTTGGTTGTAATTTGTGTTAACCATTTTGACTCAATGAATTGCGGTCCAAAATTACTTCAGCCAACTCTTGTACTCGAATTTTGACAAAGTGTGTGCCAAAAGCACTAGTATATACAAATTCAATCCCCTCTCACCGGTGACCCTTGAGGTCCCAAGTTCGAGTCTCCGCTCTGCTGGATTCCTCCGCGCACTTATTGTGTTCGGGTCGGGTTGGGGCGCCGGGCTCGGGTCGTAGGGGATTAGTCGGGCCCCGTAAGGATTGACCCGAACACCCCTGTATCGAAAATAAAAAAAAAAAATATATATATATATATATATATATATATATATATTCAATCCCATCCAAGTCACTAGAGAGTATGGTGTAAAAGAATATCCTACGTCATTCATTTTAATTCATTCGCTTTTACAACTCGTTATCATTCTTTTCCTGCTCAATTGCTACCCCTAAACGCATAACAACGTTGTTGGTTAAACTTCAATTAGCATAAAAGATGTGGATATATGAAATTTATTAATGAGCTCCACTTGATCAGGAATTCCACCAAAAACTTCCTGGAAGCACTTACCGAATTTCTATTTGGAACAAAGAACATGGACCTGTTTGATGGTTTGAAGGTAACTTGTGTGGATGAATAGTTTCGGAAAGTAGTTCAGTCGAAACGGTCAAAGAGCCATTCATAAAGCCTGTGTAAATACGAGAAATACACCAATTATGGTGATATCTTCGGCCTTCACCACAGGATCTCTTGGCAATTCACACCTCATGGAGTGAATTTTTACATATATTCCACAAGCTACTTGTGTGCACTGTGCAGGCATGATATCATCATGTTCATTGGTTTAACTTTACCTCACAACCAAATGGTTAAGCAAGTCGATGAACAATTTTATGCCTTCAATTATGGATTTTTCTTTTTTAATTCGACGATGTCTGTACACCAATCTACACAAGGGAAGACCCAATTAAACCGAAGAGAATTAGGAGGAGTTAAAAAATATCTCCGAAGGACAAAAAAACTCATTTCTAGATTAGGGGATGTACTACTACACACTCTGTAAATTTAATTATACGTGCGAAAGTTAAATTACACCTAGTGTTTTGCCGGATGAACGATCTAGCTTTGGATGATTTTTCGAATTGTCTTGTGAATTTGGGACCTCCCCCAAGTTTTAGTAATTTTTTCTCAAACATAATTATATAAATTACAAACTCAAATTTTATATAGAAATTAATTAATTTACACGACCGACTTAAATTAGAATACAACTCAAATTGCAAGACGGTAGATCCATTGTCACACCGTACACTCGCGCAATCCATGTACAATATGATTGTGTAGATGACACGGTACCAGGTGCTGATGAAATCCTAGACGCGCCAACGGCATGGGTTATCACATAAGTCGACGCCATTTTGCCGAGACAAGGCATGGATATATAAATATATATAACGTTTGCAGCTATTTATGCTATATCTTTATCAACTTTTTTTAAAAAAAAATTTTCAAAGGACCATATAATAAAAAAAAATTAGTTTGAGAGTCAAACTAAAAATGTTGTACTAACGTCTATAGCAGCCAAATTAATAAGTGTTAAAATATCGACTTCAATTATTATTTCTCAAAGTGTAATTATATTAGCAAATCATGAAAAAAGTGAACTCGTCTTCTCTACCCTAAATGAATGGATCAAAGATTATTAGACTTTCAAACGAAAATTGAGCACAAAACACTGACCAAAAAGAAGACCAAAAAAAAAAAAAACACAAAATACATAGACATGCGTGGTGGATAAGGCAACGAAGGAAATGATATCACATTTTTGACCAATAACTGATCCCAGCCTGTTTCCTCCTCCGAGGAAGCTAGGAGTGAGTCGTGTTTCCTGATTAGGAGTTTAGGACCACCGGCGGGAATTGGTCCAGACAAGCACTAGTACTAATCAGTAAACTGTGAACCATTTATTGTGTTTGACCAAAAAAAAGTGAACCATTTATTGAAAAAAAGGAAAAAGAGAGAGGTAGGCTATCGCTATAAGCCTGGCGGAATAGCACTAGTAGGCGACTGCGACGCAGGATTGAGGGAAGAGGCAACCCACATCAGCTTTGAACACCGACCAACCATCTCTCCATTTGGATGCTGGACCCCAACCCCTATCACATCTTTCACCAGAATTCAGCTTCCACGATCAAACATTAGTCCACGTGGCGGCCATCCAAATTCAGCCACGTGTCCTCCATTCATAGAATTTTTTTTTTTCCATACAGAGAAATATCTCTCTTTTTTTTTCGGTCTAGCTGCAAAGTGTTGACGACGGCGTTTTTAGGGTTTTGAAAAAGTTAGGAGTGTCGAGAACCGTGCTGATGCCAAAGACGTGATTTTCAAGGTTGACCCTCACCCTCAGGGTTGTTTATCTTGTTAGTAGTTTGTTGGTTTTGTCTAAGGGTCTTGACATTCATTCTTCCCGCCTTATTTAATTTTGCTGTACACGTATGACTTATTGTCCTGTGTTTAAATGGTAATTTCTGGAATTTAATCGACTTATATACGTCTGGCTTTTGTTTTGGATGGTTACTTTCGTTTTCGCCTATGATGTTAATTCTCTTTTTCAGATACATGTTAAGTTGGTACAAGTGCAAATGTACCTTGTCTTTTATTACTAGTCTTTCAAACACACACATGTACACATACACATATATATATATATATATATGTGTGAAGTAAACCTATAGACACAAATGCTACTGTTCGAAGGTTGTATTCAAAATTAATGTATATTTATTTCAAACACACAACTGTTCAAAATAAATGCGTTTGGATATAAGATTATTTGAAATAATTATTGTATTATTTTTTATGATGTGATGTATGTAAAATATAAAAAAAAAGATTGAAAATATTAGAAAATGCATTTATGATGTAAGCGACTGATTATTTGTAAATAATGTCTATCCAAACATATTAATGAACATGACACTAAACCAACTTTCATATATGTAGGGGATAATTTTATAAAATATTACTTAGCTTCCATTGAATTCAAAAAAAAAAAAAATCACCTTCCCTTATGTTTTTCTCTTTCAAAATATAAGATCAAAATATCATTTTAAATTTGCTCTTTTTATTGTATTCCTTAATTGTCATAGCAAACTAAATCCATTAACGTTTGAGGAATTACAAATGTGGTCCTTTAATAGAAATTACGAGTTGGTAATGAGATTGAAAAGACAGTTTACATTATTTCAAATATGGAAAATCCTACTCTAAATAACTCATACGATGTATACAAATTTTTTTTTTGATAATGTACGATGTATACAAATTAAATGATGGATTGCCTCCTTCCCATATTGACCGTTACATGTCTTGTATAATAGACCAGATTAAATGATGGCTTGCCTACTTCATCCTTTTAAATTCCTATGTTGACTATCACATGTAGTGATTTTACAATTGCTTTTTGTAGATAAATATTTAAATATTATTTTACTTGTATTATAAATACGGATTTCAACTCACCTTTTCATGTTTTCAATTATCTTTTTTATCTCATATATATCATATTATAAAAAAAATGTTACAGTAATTATTTAAAAAATTATTTTAAATGATATCCTATCCAAATACACCTTTTCATATTATTGATATGGAAACAATTTTGAAAAATTCAAAAATTTTGAATAATTTGCAAAACTCATAAGAATTGCTTGAAAACAATTATTTTACACAATGGAAAATGATATTCTAATATAAGTTTAAGCATTTTGTCTTTATCTACTATTTTTTCGAGCCATTAATCTAGACAACAAAATGCAAAAAATCATTTGTCCCATCAGACTTGCATTGTCACATCTTTTCTCTTTGTATTCAATTCTCTAATGATATATATAAGTATAAATTTGTACTTAAAAAAAAAATAGAACAACAGAAGGGCCGAGCAAGAAGAATATGAGGCGAAATTTCCCGCGAGAAAAAGAAAAGAAAAGGACCTTTTATTGGGACTTTTGACCTTAATCGTATTCAAACCTCAATTTTCAAAGAAGCCGAAACAAATACACAGATTTGGTTTCCACAGCTTCTGAGAATAGTGGATTCTTCCTTGGCAACAGCAAAAAACCGCAGGATCAGAATCCTTTTCAACCCTAGATACCAGCGCTACCAACCCCATCAAGAAGCACCCAACGGCCAAGATCACTCTTTCCCCAAATCCGCATCCCCGTCTACTGCACGGGCGCCCATACCATAGAACTCTGTGGCTCTGTCCAATTATGATTAAAAAAAAGGAAAAAGATAATCTTGTTTAATTATCCAAATTGCAAATATTTTATTGAATTTTGTTGTTAAGACATTATAATATACTATTTGTCTGTGAATGATGGATGGATAAAGATAAGGCTGCTCCATCTCTGTCTCTCTCACACTCTCTCTCCCCCCTCTGATTATTCCGTTTCTCATCATTTCTCTCTCTCTCTCAAGTCGCAGTTCCCTATATAATCCTCTCCTCTCTTTCTTAAGACCCTCCTTGTCCTACGTTTCTATCTCCATCTACGTATGCGTAGAGAATTCTGTGTCTATAGCATACTCCTGTAAGTTTTGGAACTTCTTCGTTCGTTTTGTTCTTCTAGTTAGAGATACCGGCGATGTCAATCGTGGTGGAGAGGGGCAATAGTAATACGACTGGTACTACGACTGCGACTGCGGCCTCTACCGCGGCTGCTGCCAATCATATTAATGGTAATAGTTACGGGCTTGATCATCATCTGATCGGACGGTCTGGACTTGGTGGACAGAGAGTGACGTGTTTCTCGATGTATGCTAATGGAAATAAGCCGCCGGCACCGGAGTTAGGGGCAGCCGGCGCCGGAGTTGGAGCGGGGAGGAAGGAGGTGGAGGAAGAGGATGAGGGTCGGAGTGGGGAGTCATCGTCGTCGACTTCTTCGATTGGGAGGAATAGTGATGAGGAGTCATCGGCTGGACGGTCGTCGGAAGCCGGCGACGGTGAGGAGGTGCAGAGTGAGTATAAAGGCGGAGCTTTGGATAGTCTCGAGGCGTTAGAGGAGGTCTTGCCTATCAAGTATGTAGCTGTCTTCTGTTAATCCACTGTAGATTTAGGGTTTGTGCGAATTTTATGTCTAGTTTTTTTGTGGAATATTTGGAATTTGCGTACTGACTTTTAGCAGTCAGTATGAGGTGGAATGCATATGGTTTGAACATGATTGAGTTGTGATCATTTGGGCAGACAGTTTGAAAATTGGAATTACATCTTTATTTTGCTGTTAGATCCTGAGATGTGGTTCTTTTTTAAATATATTTTTATTTTTACCTCTTTCATCTCTACTTTGACATTTTTTTTAACTTTATTTATTAACTGAGAGCGCAGTTACATTTTTTGGACATTGACACTGAATTAACACAAGGAAGTCTTTTTTTTTTTTAAATTTTTTTTTCATTTTCAGCTTCCATACTGTTGAATGCTTCTCTTGTAGCAACATTTATGTGAGAAATCTCACAATTACTGCAAGGCATTTAAATTCTTAGACACTTGTGCTGCTTTTTTTTTTAGTGAATTTTTTTTTTTTGGGTTGTCTAAAGCTTTGCTGATACTGGCAATTTGACTTGTTTCAGGAGGAGCATATCACAATTTTATTGTGGTAAATCCAAGTCTTTTACCAGCCTATCAGATGCTGCAAATTGTTCGTCCATGAAAGATATTGTAAAGCCAGAAAATTCTTACACCAGGAAACGCAAAAACTTGCTTGCCTGTAATAATTTCTGGGATAAGAATCGCAATGGCATTAGAAGAAATAACAGCGGTGGGATATCAAAGAGAGCAGCAGGCTCTAGAAGTTCATTGGCTCTTGCAGCATCCATGGGCTGTACCGAGAGCAACAATAACAGCGATAGTTCCAACTCAAATTCACCATCTCGTGGCATTTGTCTTCCTCCTTTGCCACCACAAGCAAGAAGATCACTGTACAATGACTCATTGTCACCTCCGGGACAGAAGTTTTCTCCTTGGAGGTCCTTCTCTTTATCTGATCTGCAAGGTGCAACTGCAACCCCAAGCATCTCTGGGATAATGGTCAATAATAGACACGTATAGGACAGTTGAGTCAATGATCTTATGTGTTTTTCATTGTCACCCTATGAATCTAATTTGGATATATGTTCATGGAGGTGGAAATCTTTGTAAGCGCTTTGTACTTATCATCATAGATGTACCGACTTCTGGCCAGCTTCAAAATGTAACTGATATGCTATTGTCATAGCAGTCGCTCCTTTGACAAGCATTTAGTTTGTTATATATATGAAGTCTTATTCCCATAATATGTCAGGCTCCAGTGCTCTTTTTTTTTCTTCCTTGACCAAGATATATGTTGATGAAGAACCGATTGCAATACTTTTCACGCATGAATATTGAAAATTGAAGCTTTACCTTTTTGTTCTCCTTATACTTGGTTCAGCGATAGTTGCTTTTCATTTTGCCACTTAAGTTTCTGTCGCTGAACCACGTTCTTCCCTATTTGCAGGGAGGGAACTTGGGGGCTGCTAAAGGGGAGGATTTCAGGTGTATTTGGTTTTCTGCATTTTGGTCCACCATTCACGGTTGAGCTGCACATGTTTTGATGTATGCGTATGATTACAAATACTTTCCTCCTCACCGTTGTGCTTTGGATATTGGCTCAAGACTTGCTATGAGATGGTTTTGAACTCTAATTTGACCATCAAATTTTTGTTGAATTCCAGATCTGTCTCAAACTCCGTTCTAGTAAAACCAGTCAAAAGGGAAAGAAGAAGTTACAATGGCTGGAAGAAACTGTTTCTATGATGGTATGCAGATGATCTTCCTGTTATGAAGTAGTTGAGAAATGATCATGGGTTTCCAGCTTAGGATTGTGATAGAAGGTATGAATTCCAGATGATCTTTTTTGTGAAAGAAAATTTGACCATCTAATTTTTGTTGAATTCCAGATCTGTCTTAAACTCCGCTCTAGTAAAACCAGTCAAAAAGGAAAAAAGAAGTTACAATGGCTGGAAGAAACTGTTTCTATGATGGTATGCAGATGATCTTCCTGTTATGAAGTAGTTGAGAAATGATCATGGGTTTCCAGCTTAGGATTGTGATAGAAGGTATGAAACTAACTTCTGCTAGGCAAGAGACTTGTTGAAACAAAGTGTCTTTTCTTAACTGCCTAATGATGGATGATTTGAGCACCTTATGGATTTTATAATAGTTTAGGTAACATGCCTATCATGCAACTCATGCTATCACTCAAATTGTAGCTAAGTGTATTGGAGAAGCATTACCAGGAAAACTGAAGTTCTTAAAGTTGTTGGAATGCATATGCTGAATTAGGCATGTTAAGTTATGCTGAGCTTTTCCTAAGCACTATCTGAATGAGAAGGCTTTGAAGTTACTAGGCAGAACAAGTTTTCTAATGCATATTACCATAATCATTCAACATTTACTCGTGATATTCCTTTTGATAGAGATTTAAAGATAATCATTTGACCAATTAGCTACATCCACATTCATTTATCAGTAGAGTATAGTATGACAACAGCATAAGTGTTGTTCCCAACCTTGGAGGACTAGGTGAACCAGTATAGCACCAGGATTTACCAGATTTTATAACATCTATACCTAATGAGCCAAAATTGAGTACATTATATGAATGAGAAATTGAAGAGAGAGGCTCCAGCTTTCTGTACTAATAAACTGAAAAAAGAAAGAGGCCTTTGTGCTTGTGATCTCATCAGAAGAAACTAGTGCTGCAGCTCATGCTATAGCCATACAGCACAGGTCCTCATGTTATAGATACACAGAGTAATATGTGTTGCAATTCCCTTTGTTAAGAAGTAGGATTTTAAATGACAAAACTTACTAATAGAAGGCTGTGACCTCATTTACGAGGTTTCTAACACTAGGGGTGCTTTTGAATAGCAGACAGTTTTATAACCATTATTTTACCCCATTTACGAGGTTTCCAAAAACTGGGGTTGGTTTAGAATTGGACCGTTTGAAACAGCTTCTCACGGTTTTTTTATTTATAGCTTTTATGATCTGATTAAACGACAAATTTCAACTTTTGTATTTAGGATTTTAAAGAAAACAAGCACCTGTATTCATAAAGCCGTATAACGACATACTTGCACTTATATAGGTAGTCAAATGTATTCATCAAATCTTCCGTATAATGACATTCTTGCGCTTGATAGGTAGTCGACAGGGTATTATTGATGGAAAAACAGTATAAAAAACTTTTGGACTTTGGTTCATGACAAAAAGCGGTTTTTTTTCCACTTGTGCATTTTTTTGACTTCAAAGAAAAACAAGAACCCGTATTCATATAACTGGCTGTATAGCGACATAATTGCCCTTTACCGATAATCAATAGGGTTTCTTTGATGGGAAAGTGGTATAAAGAGTTGTTGGGCTTATTTGAGATTCCTGATGAAAAAGTGGTTTCATTCAACTTGTATATTTTTACGAGTTAAAGGAAAAACAAGAACCTGTATTCATATAATTAACCGCATATCATCTTATTTGCACTTTATAGGAAAACCATAGAGTTCCATTGACGAAAAGCAGTAAACAGAATAGTTGGTCTTATTTAGGATACCTGATGAAAGGGTGGTTTTTTTTATTCCAAATAGATTGGAAAAATTATGAAGAAGGCAACTTCATGCCGAAATGCCATGTAGAATCTTAGGTCAAACCGAAAAAAGAAACATAATAAGAGGACCAGATATTGCTATATGCAAATTTTATTTTTGGCCTTCGACAACATTTACTTGATGTTGTCTCATAGAAAGCTTCCTTGCCTGTGTTTCTCACTATGGCTTGGCTATTGGAAACTGAGATCATTGTGTTGCACAAGCACGTTACTGTAGAAATGGGGTATCATACAGAAAACCATGTCACCTTATTGTGACTGGTTCATGTTGGCAGATGAATGATCTACTAAGTTTGAATGGTCTGAGATTTGATACTAATTATGTCATCTGAGGTCCCTGTTATGATGCAACGCAAGGCTATCTTGGATGAACAATGCAATAGTGTATCAAATTAGCTGAGCAGTACTGAGGATATTAACATAAAACGGTTTCTCGTCATTATTCAAAATCCTAATCTCGTACCATGTTACTATTGTGGATGCATGACTGATTATTGGCCACTAGATGATAATAAGCTGTCTTTCTCCTGGTCTACAAGTAGTGGGATGGGGACATTGAACAAATTGACGAGTAAAAAGCGTTACAAAAAACTTTTGACCTATTAGAATTTCCTCAGAATGGTAATCTCTAGAAGATTGGCTATATGGTAACTTGTTGAGTTCTTTTATCCCTTCGCCTTTCTTCATGTTTGACGTGTGTCACATAGCCAGAAAATGAATTGACTGAAACAGAAAATTTTCGCATGTGTCCAATTTTCAAGGCTCAAGATTTCTTCAAACATTAAATACAACCTACTAGCGAGGATATCTCTTGGAAATTAATACCAGTATCTTATCTTCAGTTTGTTGTTTGTGGAGTACATTGACAAGAGAAACTAAAAGACTTCTTCGCACCTGTTTTAGAGTCTTGAGCTGCCTATAAATCATGTGAGTTGGAGTTGAGTTGAAAAGCAATTTTCTGAGAAGTTCCCTTCAGGTTTCTTTTCCCTTCTTTTGTACTAGTCAGATTTATTTATCCGGTTATTTCATTGTTTAATATTTTGCTTGATCTGGGTGTATATCAGCTAGTTGTTAGGAGAAATTGGTGGAGAAGACCAGCATGGAAATTCACTCTCCATGGTTTCCATGAGGATCCTGTCTTCCATATACCTTTCTGGTTCAAGGACCAGGCACCAAACTCATATGTTTGTCACTTTAGCGGAGATTAAGTGATGTACAGTTTTGATCCAGTTCACCCCACTCTTGTTGTGCCTGCGTCTCTGTGTGTCTGTGTGCTGTACCCACAAAAAAAAAAAAAAAACCAATTTAGTAAAGTTGCCAGTCCATTAAAATGCTAAACTGCTGAATCTATGATTTTTGTGGTGTATATGGTGGAAAATTTTTTGCCTTGTCTTTTTAAGGTTTTGTAATTCGATGTTGATGATTGTATATGTGAATGTTGGTGTGAACAGGTTTTGGGCCATGGATCCTGAACTTTTGCCGGTTACACCCAACGAGTACGGTACTTTCCATGCAATGGATAGAGCGCTTTATTCTCTCCTTGCTGTCGATCTCTGGCGTGATCCTTATGAATCTGTGCAAATTATGGCCCTGTGGCTTTGGATGGAGCGGCTAGGTTTCAAGAATCTTGTATTAACAATCTTATCTATGCCCCCCATGTTGATAAATAAATATGCTGACGAGGCTTTGACATGTGTCAAATGTGTTAATGACCCTCAGTTTGTGCTTTCAGCTGAAGTCAATGAAATTCCTGCAACTTCTAGACTCGTGAAGAAGAGGATCACTCTCCAATATTTTCATGAGAATAGGCCCATTGTGGTGAAAGAACTTCGGAATGTTGTAACTGAAACTTGTGCCATGGCTTTACAGGATGTCATAGAGGATGTCGTCAAGAAGCATAATGCATACGAGTCTTTGGTTAACAGCTTTTCTAACTTGGGTTTTGTAGGTGAAGCATGTGGAGACTACAGTAATGCTAATGGGGCATCACAAGAGGAAAGGACCATGTTTGTTACATTTTCGAAGGGCTATCCTGTTGCAGAATCAGAAGTCACGGAGTTCTTCACTAAGCTGTTCGGGAATTGCATAGAGGCCTTCCACATGCAACCAGTGAGGTCTGATGAGCAACCATTGTATGCTCGAGTAGTGTTCTCTACGCCTAAAGTCATTGACTTGATTCTCGGTGGTGTTACCAAGGCCAAATTCACCATAAATGGGAAGCATCTCTGGATGCGCAAATTTGTGCCTAAACGCAAGAGCTCCTTTCCTCGGTCGCGTTGGCCATAGAATCTGTGGTCCTTGTCGAATCCCCTTGTCCAACAGCTGTGGTCCTTTTGTGTCGGAAGTCTTATAGTTGTGTCGTAAGGGGTGTCTCAATAAAGTCTCAGTTTAAATTTGTAAGTTGTTGTCAATCAAGTCCAGGGAGGGACGCTTGTACACAGTTGTACTGCTGTTAAAAGCTTTCCTTGCGTGCTGCAATACAAGTCTTATGAATATTGCCATTTTTTACTGCAGATTATGTATTTACATTGCGACTAGATTGATGAAATCAAGAACATTCAGTAGAACTAGTTTAATTTATGCCGTTGATCATTGATGGATTCCAGAAGGGCCACAACAGTTCTGCAGAGCATAGTTGTTTGGAATTAAAATTGTTTCTCTGAGTCGTTTCTGGTTGGAGAGACGAATGAAAAGAATCATTAGTCATTTTGGGCTAATTTCACGCGCAAGTTTTTGTGTCATACTGTATGTTTTAATCATCCTTGAGAAGAAGCCCCTATTTTATTGAAACGTCGAATTGTCTTTGCACAAAACTAGGAAATTTTTGGGTCGAATGTTGCATGGATCCCTGCAAAATTGTTTTAAGTTTCCGTTTGGATGGATGTCTTTTTGGAGTGTTTTCTAGATAAATTTTATCATTTCATATTTGTGTATAAATGTATATATGACATTAAAAGGTGACTGGAACACGTATATAAAACTTCTTCAACAACATGTTCATAAAAGCATGTCTATCCATGTCTATTCAAGCCGAAGCATTCAAGTCGGCTACAATTTCTGGTATGATTTGGCTGCAATTAAATTATGGGTGGTCACTCGTCAATACAATTAAATTTTACCTAATCTATAGTGTATATACACATAATAATCATTTTTACACTCAATTGAGTTTATATACTTTCTTTATTTAGTCCTACCTACTCTCCCTTGCACTATTTATTTACTATTTTTAATTAATCTTACATTTTTTAAAATATGACGCCTAAAATATATTTTAAAATATTCAATAGACACCCGTTAGATAGACTCATTAATTATTTAAGATTTTGGAGTGCAATGTGACATTGATTCCCTCTTGGTCTTGCATATTTTTCCATTTCTACCATCATCATTCTAGTAAAAGAAAAGGAAAAAAATCTACTAATATTAATACATACTCATTTACTTCCAAATTGAATGCATGGATGCAATCTTAAACCGTATCCGTTCTCTTCAATTGGAAAATCTATCAATGTTTAGTGCTTCTCATTCTTCTTTCTTCTACATTTCAATTTTTATCAACGAGGCAACATGTTTGCAACTCTAAGTTAACGATCAAACCAAACTACTCAATTTGGGAATTGAGTACTGGGTTATGAAAATAGAATAATCTTCTAAAAGATAGGCAAATCTACATCTTAGTATATTGACTTACCTTTTATGTAATTCTTCATAAAATGAAGCATATAATACAACGGTCAAGGTACAATGCTTTGGTAGATTTGGGTGCATTTGATAAAATTAAAATCTGAAAACTAAATTTTAAAATCTGAAATGTGAATTCATTAAATTAATGAATTATTAAGTACTAAATTTCATACATTTGAGTATATATCACATTAAGTGATAAGTGAATAGCTTATCACTTATTTTTGGGAGCAAGTTTTATCTAGAAAATCCAGTGCCACTCAATTAATTTAGATATTTAATTTTTAATTATCAAAAGTATCTGAATATCTTAAAATTTGAATCCATTAAATTTAAATATTGAATTAAGTGATCAAACAGGGCCTTATCTATATTGTGTCTGATTAGTTGGTTAAAGATCAAGTGACATCACACACCTTATTGTCTCTTCAACACGTATTTTTCATATTTTAAAAGAATTTACTACACTAATAAAAAATGAAAAAGAAAACGGTAATAGATAATGCTTTCCCACTGCAAACCGCTGGGACTTTTATATGCAAACGAACAAGAATTTGCATGTACGGAGTATATCCTACGACGGTGAAGTGGAAAAAAAAAAACCGAATAAGTAAATGGACGCTCAACTGCTTTTGCGCTCAATTGAGTTCTGTGGTTACCACGGTGTCGTTTTCTACCAACACGAGCTGGCATATCTGTTAACCGACTCCGATCCCGAATTTCTACATGTATTACTTGCATTTTTCAAGGTACAGCCAATAAGTAGTTTGGAATTTGGATTAAAGATTATTTGGAATTCTTTTCCTATTTTTCAGTGTAATATCTTCAGGACAAATAAAACTTGTAAATTGTGCAAAAGAAAAAGACATTTTGGTCACTTTAATAAATGAAAAAAATTAATAGATGTACCGTCGAAGCAAGCATTTGTAGATAGACTGATGGCTCTCTCTTTCTCTCAAGCATATTAATTGAAGAGTACAAAAGATAAACCAACCGATATAAAGAACCAACACATATCTTATCCTGGTTATATGCCGCCCGAATTTAAAGTTAAAAATTATCCATCATTGTTTGCAAAAAACAAAAATTTTGACAGCTGAACTCAACGTTCTTATATATTAACATTCAAAGCTATAAATACTAAGTATAATCTAATGGGTTATTATCACTTTACCCTCTTAAACTATATCACTACTATCAGTTTACCTCCTAACGTTATTTTTTAGACATTTTAACCTCATAAGTAATTCAACTCAATATGTTAAGAAATTTTGGACAAAAATACCCTTTTATTTTATAGCATTACTACATTGTTATTATCACTTTATTCGTTTGGATTTTAGTGATACAATCACTTTAGTTCATAACATTATTTTCTAGACATTTTACCTCATCATTAATCTAACTAATATGGTCAAAAATTTTTAAATATATTTACCCTTTTTTATATATAATTAAAAATAAAAAAGTTGGAATGGTTATTCTTCCTTTTTTTTTTCACTTTAAGAGATCGAAAAACATAAAAATAAAAGGATTTTCTCAAATTTCTTTTTTTTTCACACTTATTAATACTAGGAAAAGAAAAGGAGATAAGAAAGAAGGAGACAAAAAATTAGATTTTGTAAAAAAAGAAAATAAAGAAAAGTCTAACATCATCGTATTACTTTAAGGCTATCGGGATTAGAATTGGAATTTGGTCGTAAACAAAAAAGTGAAATAATTTTAAAATAATAAAAGTATTTAATTCTTTTTTATTTGTAATTTTTAAAAAAAGAATTGAGCTCTTTTTCTCCCCTTCCCCCTCTCCATCTTTCTATTTTTTTTCAATATTAATAAGATTGCCAAGAAGAAAGAAATTAATATTTTGACTTTTTTTCTTGATACTAAAAAGGAGAAAAGTCACTCTAAATTTTTTATTATTTTTATTATGCGAAGAGTAGGGTATTTTCTTCTAAAGTTTTTTAACTTGTTAAGTTGGTTTAATGGTAGGATAAATTGTCTAAAAAATAACTCCAGGGGGTAAATTGATAATGAGACTATATTTTATGGGGGTAAAGTGATAATAATTTTAAGGATTAAACATGCCTTTTCACTTTAATTAACAAAGTTTGACCGTTAGTTTTGGAGGTAAAGTGACTAAATGATAACGTTGAAGGGAAAATTGATAGTAGCACCAAACGTTAAAGGGGGTAAAGTGATAATAACCCTAATCTCATTGACCCTTTTGAGGTTGTCCTAATGAAATTGAAGCAACCTCAGGTTTCGTAACAAATTTGAAATCATTTTTGTGACGTAATCGTGCCGTGCTTTTTTAATTATGCAGAATTCTTAATTGAACACAAAAATAACTGTCAAAAGAGCTAGACATGTTTCAATAATGAATTTAGTCTTGTCAAAGACTAGACACATATTATCAGAATATTTAGTTGTGCAGTAATCTACAACTTGTTAATCAAAAAAATTTTAAAAAGAATACTGAGAAATCAAAGCTGAAACGCAAAGTTATTATAATTTTTTTAATAGAAAAAATTGGTAATTCACATAATATGTCGTGTTGCTGGAAGCAAGTGACCGAGAGCGGAGAGTGCTAATTGTTTTTTTTTGGATTGAAACAAAGCAGGGAGCCTTGAACTTTGGGCCAAACTAAAAGTCTGTGTGGTAACTACTGGACCATCTTCGGAGAGATGGTAAGTATATTTGGGCTAAACAGGCCCAAGTATTGGAACAGGCTTATGGGTCCTTTTCTTTTAGTTATCGAAGATTCTGCACCTGCTCCTCCTCAGAAAATGCCTCTTTACTTCCAGAGTTCCGGTGAATCCGAACAGGGATACTCACCCCAGAATGATTGATTAACTGGATTTTTTGATGCTACCTAATATTGACAGTTCTAAAGCACTGTAATCATTTTTCATAGGCAGTCTGAAAAAAAAGAAAAAGGTAATCTGGTGAACTTTATAGCACAGTAATCTGTAAGCTCTTTAAAGCTATTTACGATTTTCTTTTTTTCTTGAAATTGTTGGTGTTTTTTGTTGGCTGTAGCTTTGCTTAGTTTGAATTATTGGGGTGAAAATGGAGGCGGGTTCGAATGGAGAAGAGCCCACATCATGGGAGGAGCTTTACAACATCAATTTAGTGCCTTCAGAGTTATTTGTCAAGTTCAGAAAAGAAATTGAGGGGTATCGTGTTGGTGTCAACTTGGAGGTAGTATTTCTTCTGCTGCCTTTAATTCTATATGCTGATGGAATTAACTGGTTCAGGCTTGTGTTAGGCTTAAAAAGTAGTATGGAGTGCTTATAGCGCTGCTGATGATTAGCTCGTGTGAAGGATTTCTTGAAATTTCTCAAGTTTGGGTTGATGCAGGAGCCAAAAAGACTTGATTTTTAAGTTTTACTTTTCGAACTACTATACTTTGATTTCTAGGCTTTGTATTGTGGAATGTTGCTTCTGGTATTCCTTAAAAAAATTCATCATTGGATGATGGCCTTGTTTTGGTAATATCGCCACCAATGGTGCTCTTTTGATGATAGTGTCAAAATTCTGAATGGTGAAATTGTGGTAGTCATGTCCTTTACCAATTGAACTCTTTTCAATAAATCAATATCAAGCTGGATGGTTTTTGAAATGACTAATACTCTTATTCATGGATATCGTACATAATTGTATTCTGTTCTTTGCGACATTGGACATCTAGGGCTCTGCATGTTTGTGTTCATTCTCCCCTTGGCATGTACTTATTGGGCACTTAGCCCAGGCTCAGCTTAAGATTTAAACCAAGGCATTTGGATTTAGATGTCTGACTTCCCAACTAAAGTTATAGCTGGACATCCTTTTAGGACATGCATATTATTTTTAGCATTTACGGTTCTAGGTTGTATATTTTGGGA